GTGTGTGTGTGTGTGTGTGTGTGTGTGTGTGTGTGTGTGTGTGTGCGGGTATTCAATCGTGCAGAGAACCTCTCAGAGATACAGAAGGGAGACTGCGAGGGGAAGAGAGAGGCACAGTCCCGCGGCTATGGTGTTTCACCTCCCTCCCGCCCTCCCACTGTCGTTAACTCCTCAGATCATCCACCTCAAATGGTATTTCACCTCCCTCCCCCCTCCAAAGGACCATCTGCAGCCAATGTGGAGATGACATCACACGTGCCCTACGCACCCTCCGCGTCACACAGCTATTGCCACGTGTCATAGACAATGACCAGCTGGCGAGAGAGAGATTGCGGGAGAGAGGTGGCCCGTCGTTATCGATCGACACGTGTCATGGCAACACCGCCACGCGTAGCCGCGCGCGCATTCAGGCAGTCGTGATAGGACTCGCGTGTGAGAGAGAGCGCGGGAAAGAGATGGTGGGAGAGAGAAGGCGGAAGTGCAGAACATCGCCGCTCCTCGCTGGCCGCGAAGCTCAACAACCAAACGTGTACACGACATGTGAATCTTCACCTACAAGGTGAAATGATACACGAGACATCGGTACGAGTATCTTCACGCAGAATGTGGTCAGATTCACGTGCAATTTTCTTGTCGTCCTGCATTTGCCGGACAAATACTCCACCGACTCCCACAGAGGCAACACCAGGCAACAAGTAGCAGGTGCAGAGGACTCACTGACAGCTATCAATCACACACCGTGGAAGAGCTATCACGACCCGGCCCGTTCTAATTACCACTCTCCGCCCCTCCTCTCCTCTCCTCTCCTCTCCTCTCCTCCTCCTCCTCTCCTCTCCTCTCCTCTCCTCTCCTCTCCTCTTAATTCTCGCCCTGTTCACCTCCTGCGCCCAACGAACTCCTTTGACAGAGATGTTCTGATATGCCGTAAGCATCACACGTCCCGCCAAACTAACAGTAAACCACTGTCCTCAAAAATAAAAGACAACACCTCCTCTTCTCTCTCTCTCTCTCTCTCTCTCTCCATCCAGCAGCTCGTTCACTACGCTCTTCCCAGCTCCCTCCTCTCCTCTCCTCATCTCCTACAGCGGAGAGACCGACACGACAATGCGAAAAAAAAAAGGCGCCAACGCTCGGCCGCCGCGGCAAGCGAGCAGGCGCTAACGATCGCGCTCCCGACGGAATTGTGGTCGGTACGTCTGCGCGCGCGGGCTACCGGTAGGTCCCACTTCCAAAAATTAAGAGATATTGACCGTAGATACGATAGCAAAGATCAACGGCCAGAATCTCTTAATCCGTGCAAGTGGGACCTTGCCCCCGAACAGCTCGGCAGATTTCCCGCTCTAAGGTTTACACTACGGGCCTCGCTCCGCTACTCGTAGACATGCACCCCACAAATAGACCGGAGCCATCAGAAGGTTAAAAATAATAATAATAATAATAATAAATAATAAAAAATCATGGCGGTGTATAGTTCCATGTTCTAGCGGGATAGTCACTCTCGATTTGCTCATGTGTCGAGGGTAGTGGACCGAGGCCCACTACTCAAACACTCCACATGCACTTGGACGATGACCGGACCAGTTGCGTTCGGGACTGGACGTATTTGGTCTAGAAATCGTCGAAATGCATGTAAAGTCTTGTGTAGTGGAGCTGAGGCCCATTAACGTCGAACAGCAAAAAAAGAAAGGAAGGGAAAACAACACACCAGCCAAAAAAATGGGGGAGAAAAAAAGATAACCAACGAAGATGAAATCATGAAACAGAAAGACAGGTCCTTCAAAAAATAGGGGGACGGGCGGAACGTCGGGCGTAGGAGCGCTCCGTCGTGCGCTATCGGTTCGGGAGGACCGGTGCCACTGTCACCAAGCCCAGCACGCGGCTGGACTCCGGGAAACTGCCGAAGCCTACCCGGCCATAGCCGGGTCAAACCTCGTCAGAGAAGGGGGAGGAATGGAGGCGGGCCAGTGGTCGAGAGCCAAGAGTTACGTACATTCAATGAGTCCAATGAGGAGGAGACATGGCGCCATGTGGCGCTAGCGTCCTAGATGTGGGATTGGGGAATAATGCCATAGGTAGCAAAGTGGATGTCGCGAGGAGAGTGGGTCGTCAGAATGGCGGGAGGGTGACGAAAGGAGACGTTAAGTGAAGAAAGAGCCTCAATAGGCAAGGTGAGGTGAGAAGAGCTCTTACGCCCGACGTTCCGCCTGCAGTAGCGGGATTGGGCAGCAAGAACCAGGGGACAGAATAGGGGGGGGAAGTCAGTTTTTGGGAGATACAAGTATTGGGCGTGGCGTCGGTGGAGCTACGAGCATGTCTACTCCACCCCCCCCCCCGGCGGGAGACTCGGGTGGTGGTGAAGCCTCTTTGTCGGCGCCACAGGCAGGATAGGACAATCCGAATAGGCTCAGGGCGCTTCTGGACCTGTGCTTCGACGACGGTTTATTCCCGGATACCAATATTGATTTTGGGGAAACCGAGATTATTGATGGGATTGGCTATTTGTCTCTCAATCGCGAAGTCGATGCTGCAACGGTTAACTGGCTGAAGGCAAGAACGGTAATAGTTCTCCTTGATGAACCGGCAATGTCCCTAAGTGTAGCTCAGAGGGAACAGTTAATTAGAGTTTACGAGGAGGCTTGGTATCAGGATGCGGATTTTAATCCTATGCAGAAGAGGGGTAGGACTCATGGGGAGGGCCCAAATGTCTCTTCATACGTGGCTAGAACGGAGAGGATTGCTCGGTGGCTGATAGCCAAAGGGGAAGATAGAATTCCGATAAGAAATGGCTCGGTCAAGGTCAGATTTAAGCCATGGATGACAAGGCAAGAATTGGATGTAATTAGAGACAACGAGGCAGCAGGTAGGTTTAGGATTATTGCGCTGAGAGTTCCCCTTGAAGCTCTACCCTCACTCAGATTCGCCGTTCAGCGTTTTATGGGAAGAGTGTTGGTGATGCACCCCCCGGAGAGAAGGGCGGACGAACCCAGATTGGGGAATATCCAAATTGATTGTGTACCGGAGGTAAGGCAAACCTTTTTAGAATGGATCGTGGTCAGGAAACCGTCGGGAGGGTTTGTCGAAGTTCAGTTCGCTAATCAGGATACCCCATTCTGCAATAAATGCTTATGGTGGTATCACGATGAGTTTGACACGAAGTGTCCTAGGTTCGGGGAACCAATGCCGGAAGGGCGAGGTGGGAGACGAGGCAGGGGGAGAGGGGCGAGAGGAAGAGGAAGAGGGAGTGGCCAGCGAGGAACGCAAGGTCAGCCAACCGGGGGAGGGCAGAGCAGGGTACGAGGAAGGGCTAATCCGCAAGGAAACGGAGGCCTCCCGAGCCAGCAACACAACCAGCCTAGGGTAACTACAAGCGAGCAGATCGTGAGTTCTAGCGCATTAGTGGTTTACTCAGCAGGGGCGGCGACGGGGACAACGACAGAAGGAGGATATACAGGTCACCATCCCCTGTGTATTGGCACTGAGCCATGCCAGAATGTAGGGAGAGCGCTGCCTACGCAATCAGCAGGAGGCGTCCAGTTGAGACCGAATCAACAAGTTTACCCGCAACCTGTGATGGCGATAAGGCCTCAGCAGATGGGACAGGTGCTTCCCTCCAGAGTGTCGGAAAACAAGATGGGAATTGGGGGTGGGATGGCCTCACCCTCACTTATGCCACCTCCCATGTTGTCGTTACACCCTTGGTCAGGGCAGGCTTGGGGTTTGTCGCAGAGTCAGGGTAATTTGATCGGGGGGGGTCTGCCTTGGCACCCTCCGGTCATGACGGGGAATGGCCCGCAATCTGGAGATCTGGCCCGGGCCAGGTGGGGGATAGGACATGGAGGAGTGGGGGGAGACATGGGGATGTCGTCGGGCTACGCAGGGGGTCGGGGAGCGAGTCCTGCATGAACCGAGAGACAGGGAGGTGGGAGCAACCTCCAAGGAGGGGAGCAGGGTCCCCCCCCACTCCCCCGACTATTAGGACAGCAAGGGAACGTCCTAGTCCCGACCGGATTGGGGAGGCCAGGGGGTCAACCTGCACCCAGCCACATCGAAGGTCAAGCAATGGGTCACCAATCTTTCGTCGCAATAAGGATAAATTCGGAATTTGTTGTTGAAAATCATGAGGAAGAAGTGGCGGCCTTTTCATTTATCAGGTCAAGGACGAACCAAGTAATTAACAGTGGGAGAGGAGGGGGAGGTCCCGGGGAGGTTGTCAGACCAGTCGATCTGGGAGACAGAAGAGGACTGCTAGACCAGGTAATGAGGGAGTCGGGTAACAGGTCTTCGCTGCCAACCCCGATCAAAACACGCAGAGTGGGAGAGGGTGGTAGTGCGGAGCCAACCAGGGAAGGAGAGGAAGATGGGGAGAGTGGAGGGGAAGGTGGAGAGGAAGAATTATTCAATATTTCCTCACCTCCGATCCAAAGGGGTGGGTCAGGGGAGGCATCAGGCCCGAGTCAACGCGGAAAGCAGCCTGTTACAACCGGAGGGCAGGGCGGGCATCAAGGTACCCACTATGTGGTTCTAGTATGCTCCTCCCTAGCCCCCCAAGGGACAAAAATCTTGGTAGGGAAATCGGAGTCTGGTGTCTTGGCCCTCCCAACCCTCTAGGTACATCAGTTTCCAAGCTCGAAGGAGGCGATTAGGACAGCAACCTTGAAGTTTGTTGCTGGAAGGTTCCCGCTCAGACTTATATCTGGACTCCGAGTGGGTCGTAAGACAGTGGAAACAAAGGGTGGTTTGGTGCTTCACTTTCACATGGTTATGGCGGACGTCAGGATCTCCGTGGACGTAGCAGCAGCGTTGGAAGCGGAAGGAGTACAGTGGATCCCACCACAATGGTTTGACTCCAAGGTTTTGCAAGAAGCAGCCAAGCTGCAGTTGGTGGGGGAGGTCAAGGCGGAAGTGGTGGCAGCCTTTTGTGGCTCGCTACCAGCGGACAAGCAACCATGGTCGACCGTCTTTAGAAACCTTCTGACTCAGCCATGGGAAGTGCAGCAGGAAGGGGAAGGCAGGAGAAGGAAGGGAGGCAGCAGACTGCCGGCAGAAGATACGCGGATCCAACCTGCAACCGCGACGAGGACAAATGATGGATAAGGTCCAAATGGCAACTTGGAATGTTCGGGGGCTTGGGGATACAACAGCGAGACATAAGAAATTCAGACTCAAAACGTGGATTCACAAGGAACGAGTGCAAGTGGTTTTTCTGCAGGAAACGAAGTTAGACGAAGATAAGATTAACCAGTTCAATAGATGGTGGCGTGGTCCTCAATGGTGGGCCCCTGCAGATGGTACCAAGGGAGGGACAACCATCCTAATTCATAGCAGCCTGGAAATAGAGGTTTTGGAGAGTGCATACGATGTCTGGGGGCAATGGGTATGGGTCAAGCTGCGGATGGCGGGACTGGAGTGGGTTCTAATGTCTATCTATGCCCCTCCAGGGGAGAGGAAATCCTTCTACAGAGACCTACCGAATGTTGTCCCAGAGGCAGACCACATGGTTATGGCAGGGGACCTGAATACGGTCCTGAGGCCGGGAATGGACTCACCCACGCCCGGAGCAAGAAAGGAGGATGCCGTACTGTTGGAACGGTTTATGGCCACCTACGATTTGAAGGACTCCTTCCACTGTACTCACCCAGATGTGTAGGATTTCACTTGGAGTGCTGCCCAGCATACTGACGGGGAAAAAATGCCTCGGAAACGCAGGCTTGATTTAGTACTAGTCAAAGGAGAAGCCTGGGATGCAGTTTCAGAGGTGGAGACCGTACCGCACCCCATGTCTGATCATTGGCCAGTGAAAGCAGTGTTTAGAGTAAAGATAAGTTGCCGAAGGAAAAAAGGCTATTTCAGGTTAAATACCGAGAATTTGAAGAATCCGACAATTCTTGAATGGTGCAATAGACATTGGGAGGACTGGGAAAAGACGAGATCCTGGTTTGATTCGGAAGAGGATTGGGTGCAGGTCGGTTTCCGTATGGTTACTAAAGCACTTGATGTGTTCTCTAGAATCCTAGCCAGAGAAAGATGCATTGAGGAGGATGAGTGCAGGGAGATGGTGAAAGAGGCAGAACAACGGATAGGAAAGGACCCGTACACGGACTTGTACTGGGAACGTCGCAGAGAGGATTGGTTGCGTAAATGGGACTTATTGCAGGTGGAGCAGCAGGAAGTCTGGGCCAGGAGAGCAAAGGAGCGGGGCATGACCCAGTTGGACAGAATGACTAAAAAAACTTTCAAGCGGCTATGTCCTCCCCGGTCACACGGGATTATCAGAGCACTGAAGCATCCTTTCAATGCTCAGGCAGACTTGGCGGAGGATACAGAAACAATGGCTGACTATGCACTTGACTATTACAAGGACATTTTGACGTCAAGAAGGCCCCCGGAGCAGACATTGGCGGATATGAGACAGGAGGCAGACCTCTGGTGCAGCACGGACAAAAGACTGGAGCCAAACCAACGGTTGTTGTTGGACCGCCCTTTAACACTTCAAGAACTACAGGAAGCAGTGAAAAGTATGGCGAGGGGGAAGACGCCGGGAGACGATGGTCTTCCGATGGAGTTCTACGAGGCAACGTGGGATCAGATCGGCCCAATCTTGTTAAAGCTCTTCAACAATGTCCTGGAGGGAGGGCGCTTAACGGAGGACATGTGCAGGGGGACAATCACGCTCATCTACAAGAAAGGAGACAAGCAGAATGTCAGGAACTGGAGACCTATTTCGCTGCTCAATGTCTCATACAAGATCCTCGCGAAGGCCCTCTCGAGGAGGTTGGCAAAGATTCTTCCAGATCTAGTACGGGCGGACCAGGGTGCCTTTGTGAAGGGAAGGTCGATCGCAGAGAATATCTTAGTGGCCATGGGGGCTTTGGAGGTAATCAGTAAGGAAAAGAGGCAAGTCATGGTCGCTATGCTAGATCTGGAGAAAGCATATGACCGTGTTAACTGGTCCTTCGTCCTGGCCACGTTGGATCATATGAACTTTGGAGTCCCCTTTCGCCGTCGGATCTCGGCAATGTACTGCCACTCCACAGCAACCGTTTTGATAAACGGCAGGCAGTCACAGGAGTTCAAATTGTCTCGTTCATTGAAGCAAGACTGCCCATTGGCTCCCCTAATGTTTGTGCTGCAAATGGAAGTCACGGTCCTTCTGAACTCCCTGCGTGCGGCGCCATTGGTCAAAGGTCAGAAGCTGAAAGAGGATGTAGAGGTGCTTACAGGTGCAATTGCGGACGATCTCCTGCTGATTACGGAGGCGACAGAGGAGTCTACATCTGGTGCTAAGTTGCTGCTGGATCAGTATTCCGGGCTCTCAGAAGCCAAAGTCAACTGGGACAAGTCATCATACTTTCTGCCAACGGAGTACGAGCTTCAGGATGATTGGACTATGAAAAGGATTGATGAGAAGGAGTCCGAGAGATACCTCGGGGTGCAAGTTTCACTTACCAATAGTCGTCCTGCCCAGGACGCCGTCTTGATAGGGCGAGTGGAGGCTGGGATCAACAGATGCAAAGCAGCCCCGGGCATATCACTAATGGGTCGGGCAACAATGATTACGGCAGTGGTTTTCTTCGTGCTATGGCATGTGGCGACAGTCCTCTTGATCTCGAAGCCTACCATTCGAAAGGTGAAAGCGGCTGCGGCTAAATACCTATGGAAACCGCATGCAGAAGAAAAGGAAGGGCATATCAGTAAAGTGGCATGGGACAAGGTGGTTAAGCCAAAGGAAGAAGGGGGATTGGGCATAGTGGATCCAGAAGGGCAGAATCTGACACTGTTGGGGAAATGGATAAAAAAGGTGGCAATGCAAGATGAAACAAGGAATTGGATGGAGATAGCACTGTATATACTTCAGCAGGAGTTCCAGCTCAGCAGATCGGAGGATGTCTGGACCTGCCTCCGTATGGTCTCCTTTGGCAACCGCAGACCAAGATCGGCACTCGGTTTGGTATGGTGGATTGCATGGCGAAAGCTGAAGCCGAAGAAATCCCCCCCGCCGATTGTAAAGGAAGAAGTGTTAGTTCAGCACCTCTTCGACAATGAGAGAATCTTGAAAGAAGATGGTCTACCTTTTTCGGCGGCAGCGGTACCAAGGGTGAATTTTGAAAGGAAATGGGTGGAAAGGGGTATTGTCAAGATACAGGATATACGGGTGGAGGAGAGAAACGGGTGGAAGACGGAAAGCGAAGTTCGGGTTCATTTGGGAAGGCTGAGAGGGGTGGGTGAAAAACTGTCAGCCTTGACTGCGACCATCCCACCAGAGTGAAGGGATGTGCTAAATGCTGGAGCACTTCCAGTAAGAGAGGCTTGGTACAGGGAAGAGCCAGGGAATGGAAGGGCGGACACTTGCTACAGAATTGAGGAACAGCGGAGTGAAGGTGAATGGAGGGTATCGAGGTGGACCAGACAGGTCCCGGAGGAGGTGGAAGGAAGACTGATAACCAGCGGAGAGGAAATAGTCTTTAACTTTTAGAACTGGAGAATGATCAAAGTGATCTGTATGGGGCACAAGGAGGGAGGACTGGACTGGAAACTAGTTCAGGGGGGAGAGGAAGTTACAAAACTTCGCTTTGATCCGGCTATGATCAAGTGGGAGGAGATTGGCCCAATCAAGAACATATTAGTTTATTTCTCCTCCGGAATAGGAAGGAGGATCCTGAGCTCCTCAAAATCCTATCTTACGGAGATCAAGGAGCGGGCAGTTCAAACTCTTGCTCTCCAGTCCTCTTCATCAGACAGGGCAATGAAGGTCTTCTGGGCACAACTTCCTATGCTCCCTAGCGTTAAACTCTCTGGCCTCTTGTGGCTTCTGTCTCACTCGGCTGTCCCCTCGTCGGTCTGGCTGGCAGACAGAGGTATGCAGGTTAGGCGAACCTGCCCCAAGTGTGGAAACAGGGAAGAAGAGACCATCCTCCATCTGATTTGGGACTGTCCGACCTTAAAAAGGATATGGAAATGGTGGGCCGGACACTGGCAGAACTTCGGGTCAGCGTTGGTCTAGGATAGGGAATGGGCAATCACGGGACACCTTCCACCACTTTTCTTCTCGAAAAGGGGTTGGTGATATATGGCCCAAGCCATCAGATCAGTGCTCATGTGGATCATATGGGAAGACCGCAATCAAGTGTTGTTCAGGAACGAATGGCAGACAGATGAGGCGATTAAGAAGAAAGTGAAGGCTTGGCTTCGGGGAATGATTGTGGCAGACTGGTACAGGAAAGCAGATGAGGGACGGTCTCCGGGAGGAAGATCCTGGTTTTTGTTCACCTGGGCAAGAGGGAGTCAGTTAGCAGGAGTAACAGTTGAAGGAAAATTGAGGTTCTCTCCATGGCTCAAGGCATGAGGGAGTGGATGAAAGTGACCTCCTCCCCCCCCACCTGACCTCTCCGTGGGGTTCCGTCTAGGGTATTGACAGTCATTGTGTTGTCTGAGTTTCTTGCTTGGTTTCTCAATGCTCGGTAGTTCTCTGCCTGTAGTGACTTCTGGTAGATATGGTAGGGGCCGCAGTAGGCCACCCAGTCCGATGTTTTTAGGATTGGTTTGGAGAAGAAAAATTGTAGAATCTGAGCCGATATTAGGCTCGGGGGGGGATGCTTACCCCTTTTTATAGGTACTCTCAGGTGTTGGTAGTGGTGGTATGTTAGATGGTTGAATAGTTAGAACAGTTTGAAGGGGATCAAGATGCATTTTGTTACAGAAGCTAAACCGACTGATGATGTCGGGATAACTCCGGGTGGAATTGTGGGGTCCCCGGCCTCAATCCCTCTTGACATAATGTGAAATGAATGAGTGATTTTTGAAAAAAAAAAGAAAAAAAAAGACAGGTCCTTCGGGAATGATACAGAGAAGGGTAAATTAGCAAATGGCCCCTGGGCAAGGATGACACGCATGAATCGAGAAATGTGGTCAAAAAAAAAAAAAACAGAAAGACAGATCCACCACGAGGACTTGGCAAATAGGACCATGCCACGTTTGGTTCATCATGATGGACCTTTATTATATACTTATATACTTATATATACATTATTTATTGATAGAGTTTGGGTTCGAGCACAGCGAGAAACCCCTTTTACAAAAAGGATGGCGATAAGGTTAGGGAGGATACTCCCGAGGTTAGTGGGGCGGGATCAGGGGGCGTTCGTGCAAGGAAGGTCAATTTTCTTGAACATTTTGACGGCGATTGAGTCAGTGGAAGTGCTGCCCGTGGAGAATAGAGACATGGTGGTGCTGTTGTTGGACCTGGAGAAGGCCTACGACAGAGTAGGCTGGTCCTTTGTACTTACGACGTTGAAGAAGATGGGGGTTGGGGAAGGTTTCTGCAGATGGGTGATTGCAATGTACACAGCAGTAGCAGCAGCGGTACAAGTCCATGGACACCTGTCAAGGTCGTTCCAACTTACCCGCTCCCTTCGGCAGGGGTGCCCGATGACCCCGCTTCTTTTCGTTTCGCAGTTGGAGGTGCCTCAGAGTTGCATTCGGAAACATCATTTGATAAAGGGACTCCCGCTAGGGGCTGGAAGAGAGTGCAGGGCAAAAGCATTAGCAGATGATCTCTTCTTGATTTTCGAGAACTCACTTTCCTCGTTGTCAACAGTCAAAGTCGTGTTCCAGGAATATTCGTTGTTGTCGGAGGCGCAGGTGAACTGGAATAAGTTTGCGTACATCCTACCGGAGGGATTTTCTTTGGGTGGAATGGGGAATGCACAGGGTGGACTCAGCAAAAGGGGAGCGTTTTTTGGGGGTGTTAATTAACTTGGAATTGATGTCGGCGGCCCAAGGAGCAGTCATCCGACAACTAATTGCAACGGAACTGGAAGTGTGGGGCTCAGCGTGGCATCTTTCACCATTTGGCCGGACACTAGTGATTAACTCAGCGCTGTTCTCATTGTTTTGGTTTGTAGCCAAGGTGAGGGAGATCCCAAGGCCAGTGATTTCGGAGATCAAGCGGTTGGTCTCAAGATTCCTTTGGAAGCCAAGAGCCGGACAGGAGGATGGTTTTCTAGTAAAGGTGGCATGGGATCTAATCACACACGGTAAGGAGGAAGGAGGACTGGGCTTGGCAGATCCGCACTGGAAAAACCGGGCGTACCTTAGGGAGTGGTTTGGAAAGGTGGCACTTGCGGAACACAGGGATGATTGGTTGTTGTTGGAGGAGCAAATCCTGCTGCAGGAATGGCAGTTAAGTAGGCTGGAGGATGTATGAGCCTGTTTTTTCATCAAATCGTACATGCGGCGGAAGTTAAAGTCTGAGTTTTGGGAGGGAGTGCGTAGAGTCTAGGTAGACCACCCTCCCGACCGGAGAACTGCCCCGAAGTCGAAAGAAGAAGTGATGAGACAATGCCTATTTGAAAATCCTATGGTAACAGATGTGGATGGGAATGAATTCCCAGCAAGCTCGGCACCAGGGTCCTTTGGGAAGGCATGGGTTCAGCGAGGAGTGACTACGGTAGGCGATCTGTGGGACCCACTGTTGGGCACATGGAGACAAGGGGGGGAGGTGTATGAGAAATTGCAGGGTCTGAGAAACGTGGAACAACACCTGATTGGGATCAGGCAGGCCATACTGCAACCATGGAAGGATCTGCTGGGCCTGGAGGGGCGGGACACGATAGATACCTGGTATGCACCAAATTCCGACAACGCCTCCCACAGTGTGGAGACTCTAGGGGGTGACAGAGAGTGGTTTCAGGAAGGTGACAGAGTGGATAGTATGTCCTACAGATGGGGGTTTGAGAGAGGGGCAAAAACGAACGATTCAGATTTGGGACAACCCACCACAGATACGGGTGGTACAGAGGAGGGATGGAAGAGGGATGGTGACGCAGACACAGTGGGTAGGACAGACTTTACTACGTAACCTTCGGATTGACCCGAAAGCATGGAGTTGGTCTAGAGGTAGAGCCATGAGGGCGCACCCATAGGGACTGAATCTAACAGTGTATTCCCCGGGGGAATCCGATCTCACTTCGAATAGGCCACAAAGAACTCCGGCGGTAGTAGCAATAGCAAGATGGAGCGCAGTGCTTCCGATAGACCTCCAAGAGGAGACAAGGAATTTTATGAAACTATGGAGAGTATTGTTGGAGTTGCCAAATGTTAAGCACGCAAGTATTATGTGGATGTTATCACTACTGGTAACGCCTTTTGAGTCTGCTGTTTGGCTACGTGCCAGGGGGATGGAGGTAGATTTGGGTTGCACCCGCTGCAGGTGGCCATTTGAATCTACGCGCCATCTTTGGTCGGAGTGCCCTGCCTCCAAACGCATTTGGCGTTGGTGGGCCACACATTGGCAGTTGATAGGAGGAGAGGGAATCGAATGGGATGAAAAATGAATACTGTTAGGTTTCCCCCCTGGGAACTGTACGGGGCTGAGAGGGTGGCCGCACGTGGCACAACTGGTTAGAGTACTGATTTGTGCGGTCATCTCGGTGGATCGGAACCGTGTCAGGTTTGAGAAACGCCCGTTCTCGGATAAGGAGATTAAAGTTGCAGTCAAGAAGGGCATAAGACAGGCAATTGTTGTAGATTCGCGGAGAAAGGTAAAGGAAGGAAAAGCCTGCCGCCGTCAGCTATGGTAGTTTTTGAAGACATGGGCAATTCGCAATCAGCTGGCGGACTATCATCGAACTCGGGGGGGTGTCAAGGGGTTATTTAGAGGTTGCTCGAACCAGGGTATCTCGGTTCGAGAGGACGACCGCAGGAGGTTAAGAAGGGGTGGAGGGTGGAAGAGTACCACGACTTGGAACATTGGTTTCAACCGGCCAGTTTAGGTTGGTGCCAGGTCGGGTAGGTTTGTGTAGGTAGGATAAAGTAGGGATGGTAGGATAGTAATAGATTAGTCTGTAAGTAGGGAAAGGTTGAAGAGGTTTTCACAATGAAGAAAAGTTGCTAGGAGGAGCCAGTGTGGTAGTGTGAAGTGCAGACTGGTCTCCCAGAAAGACTTTCTTTGAGTGAAGTATGGTTTAATCAAGGGTATTTCAGCCCTGATGGTTGTATTAAGCGAAATCGGTTGAGGCTGCTGGGATAACTTCGGGTTGAATTGTGAGGTCCCCGGCCTCAATGTTTTGATGATTTGGTAATGGAAAGAGAAGAACGAAAAAAAAAAAAAAAAAAACATCGCCCTTTAACATAGAATGGAAGAGAACAGAGCTACAAATGTGAGTATTGGAACAAAATAGATAACGCGCCTTGCTCCACTACTCTCCATATGCACTTCAGGACGTTGTGGGTTCAACCCCCATTGACCTCACAAATGTGCTTGGGCAAACTTAGTGTTCTACCAGCTAGAGATAATGCGTTGGCACCCGAAGCCAACATTGGCAAGACCTTGGCTGGTGTTGTTGGCTGCTATGCAGCAACAATATTGGTCATTAAACACCACCATGTGGGGTTGGGGGGGGGTTGGGGGGGGGTAGGGGGAGGTGCAGTGACTGACCATTGCTCGGCGCTAACACTGCCGATTTCCCTCATCGGCAATGCTTGTCCACCCCTCGTCACCATGGCGAGGGACTGGTACAACCTTGATTTCGCACCACAACTGTGGTGCCAACCTACACCGTGGGTTGGGGAGAGATTCAGGTTGGTTGGTGTTCCCCCGTACTATGCATAGATTAGTGAGAGGATGAGA